TTTTCAACTAAAGAAATACATATATAAATTGCTAAAATGTCAAAGAATACTTGAAATTAAAACAGCCGTGTACTGTCTTATTTCAGCACAACCTCTCATACCACTCTCTAATGTACCATTTTCAACTCTTAGTAATTTCTTCTGATTCTACTGCCACATTTCTAAATATGTTGGGTCACTTAGAACTGCATTCAGGTGCATATAACAGAAACCTAAAAAAATTATTACTTAACAGAATGGGAGCTTGTTTTTCCTAAGAGGACAAGAAATCTGGAGTTAGGCAGTCCATGGCTGATAAGACATCTCCACGCTATCTATCATCAGGTTCCAGGCACCTACTGTCCATTCCCTTCTCCTTTATCAAGTAGCTTTTCATCAACATTACTCCAGCAATTATCCCCTTTCCTGCATCGAATTTTCCCCCACTGGACCACTCCCATTATCAAACCAACAGAAATAGGTGTTATTTCTCCCAGCTAAATAAGAAAATAAACATCTTTTGACCCCACCTTTCCTTCCCTATTTCTTTATTTCCTTTATAACATAACCCTTTCTTATGTTGTAAACCTAATTTCTTTCCTCCCATTAGCTCTTAAATGCGTTCCAATCAGGCTTCTGCCCACACCATCTACCAAAACTGCTCATATCCAGGTCACTGATGACCTATGTTACTCTATCCCAAGCATGTCAAACTTGCAGCTGGCAGGGCATGTGGCCCACTGGCTGCGAGTTTGACATGCTTGCTCCATCCAATGGTCAATCTCAGACATCTTGTTACTGGTACCTTACATGCCAGTTATACCTGATTTTCTTCTTGGAACTTAATTTCATGGACACCATACTGACTTCAGTGTGGTCTACCTCTTAGGCTAGTCCTTCTTATCTCCTTTCTCCATCTCTCCAATCCCCAAATGCTGGAGGACCCCAGGGATCAGCCCTTCAGCCCCTCCCTAGGTGATCTTCAGCAACCTCTTGGCTTTAATACCATCTGTGGGGTTTCCTCAAAAAGTTCTCTCTCTAGCTCAGACCTTTCTCTGAACTACAGATTCCTATAACCAACTGTCTATTTGATTTCTCCACCTGAATATCTAATGGGCATTTCAAACATTGATGTCCAAAACTGAGCTCCTGATGTTTCCTCAAACTTGTTCTCAATCTTCCCTTTACAGTGAACGGTAACTCTATTGCTCAGAAATTTCTTCTATACCCCACATTTGATCCATCAACAAATTCTGATGGCTCAAAACTTAAATTATACTCAGAATTTGGCCACTTCTCACTACTTAACCATTCCCGTAAGTCAAAACCACCATTATGACTCACCTGAACTACGGAAACAGCCTTTTAACTTATCTCCAATTTGATCTTCGTTCCCTTCAATCTGTTTCCATCACAATACCCAGATCGATCCAATTAAAAAATCAGGAAAAAAAAGTAAATCAGATCAAGTTCCTCCTCCACTCAAAAATCTTCAAGGGTTTCCCATCACACTTGGAGTTAAGGAAAGACCTTTCAGGAGCCTACAAGGCCTTATGTAACTAGTGTCTCATTTTCTCTAGTCTCAATTCCTATACTCTTCTCCATCGTGGTATAAATTTAACAGTGTCTTAATGCTGAAACTTTTATTACCTAAGAATAGTTTGTTAAATGATTTTAGAAATTCAGAGCAGGAAATTATTCAACATTTTCTCATAATGAAATCATTCTGGGAGACTGAAAAACAATGAGAAATGTATTTGATAGCGAGTAAAATTAAACTCTGAATTACATCTCACACTTTCATTGCATTTTAAACTAGGAATAGGAATAGTCTGGAAAAGCAACTTCAAAAGGCAATTTTCATTCAGAACATATTGATTTATAAACTTATGAGTTTGTAAGTGGAAAGAATTATTTTTAAAATGATACAATTTATGTGTAACTGGATCAACAACATGAACTAAGTTCTGGTAATGATGACAACCTATAAAATCTCATTGTTCAACAGAGGGAAAATCCAAGCACTGACTGCATCTTCTGAAATCCTTTACGTTGTTGCAGTTGCCTTGCTGATTTCTAAACAATTTGACTTTTTGTAGAAATAAGGATCCCTTGAGAAGACGACAACAAGATAAATTCCATAAATCCTAAATTTGCCATGGAGGGCAAGGATGAAAAAATATTTACCTGATGCACAAAAGAGGGATCCTAAGAGAGCTTATGGTAATGATTTATTTTGCAACTAAGAAAGGCTTAAGGGAATCCTTTTAAACATTTAGCTTGCACACCGAATTTTTAATTTACTGTAATATGAGAGATCTTTAGGAAAAGACATATAGACATATTTTTAGAAGATCTAGCTAACAGTCCTATCTAGAATCTAAGGAAGCGATAGATTATGTTAAGAGGTCTCTCAAAGGCCCTAAAGATGTGGGGACTAACACAGACTTGTGGGCAGGGTGGAGGTAAAGTTACCTTGCTAAAATATATCACATCAAGAGTATGCTGGTTGTAAAAGATCTATTTTAGGAATATCTTATCAATCATAAAAATAAAGCACAAAATATAAAAAAGGTAAGTTCCGCCTTGGTCCAATGGCTCAGTTGGTTAGATTGTCTTCCCATACACCAAAAGGTTGGGAGTTCGATTCCTGGTCAGGGCACATAGCTAGGTTGTGGGTTAATCCCTGGTGGGGGCAAATACAGGAGGCAACCAATTGCCGATCACTGTTTCTCAGATCTATGTTTCCCTCTCGCCGCCTCTCTCTCTAAAATCAATAAACATACTCCCATGAGGATTTTTTAAAAAGTAGACTCACTGCTATAACAGCATAAGAAAAGAGTACTTCAAGTGGCTGTAACTTACAAAAGCAATTTTGTATATATTTATCATGCACATTCCTTTTCTGAGTTGAATTAATTCACAAGTGAAGGACATTCCTCTCCATGCTCCCCCACACAGACATACACACAAACTTGCTTATTAAATTAAAATGCAATAAAACCTATTTTAAAAGGATTGCCTATTGGGATGCTCCACTGCATATTTTAAGATACCTGACATGTTCCAACTTACCCTGTGCAACGGTAAGGGTGGAGGCCATGAGACACACCTCATACTATAGGTGGTAGGCATGCCCTCCAGTCAAGCAATTTTATGCTTGCTTTTAAGGTGAGTAATGGCATTGAGAAGTACAATTTGAGTTGTACTAACTTTAAAACTTTCTGGAGCATATTTTATATTCAAGTTTTAAAGTCTGATTAAAACTTTTATGAAAACAAATCATGAATTTTTAAATAATCCCATTCTTTTGAATAGTATCCTAAATGGAAATTAAGAAGTATTATGGTTCTAAAAATATTAATTCAGCCTTATTAAACAGTCTCTGGAAAGTAATAATTTATTACAGTTGAGGAGGAAACTAAATAGTTACCTTCATGAGTAAAGTTGACGAGTTTAAAAAAAAAAATGAGGAAAAATTAGAGTCCACTAAAATGATAGTCTACATTTGAGTAGTAGATTAAGATTATGTTCCTAATTACTACAAATTCAATGTTGTAGATTTATAGATAGAGCCATGAACTTCAGATAACAGTAGACTTAAAGTAAGTCAAATTGTAAACAAATAAGAATTTAAATTGATACAGGATATTCAATTCCATAAAAGTTATAATTATTAGAACTGATGTACCTTCAATTATATGTATAAGTAGAATATGACTAATGATTTTTTTATCATAAGCAAGTAAAATTTTTCTAAGCAAATAGTATTTTTAAGCCAATCAGCAAGGCTGAGGCATTTGTCCATTATTTTATGATCAATGAACACTAATTATTATGATGAAGTCCTAAATCTAGGCTTATTCAACATGTAACTCCTTATCTAGGTCTTAATAGTGGTGTCCAATAAAAATTTCTTTGGTGAAAATGTACTGTATAGACATTGTCTACTGAACACTTAAAATGTGGGTAGTTCAACTGAGGAACTGAATTTTTAATTTAATTTAAATTTATATTTAAATAGCCAGAGGTGACTCGTGGCTACCATATTAAACAGGATGGCTTAGAAGCTTCAAAAAAAAAAAAAAAAAAAAAAAAAAGCAAATGTCTTATTATGTTAGGTCAACTCTAGTCTATTGATTTCCATAAGCATGGCATTCACAAATGTTTACAGAGTGGTATGCCAAAACACCTTTTGTCCTATAGTTCTATCTTCATTCAAAATTATGATTAAATTTATACCAGTAAATATTTAATACAATAGTCAGACAATTCCAAACAATAAATACCACTGAAAAGATTTTTAGTAGTGCCCATAGTGTGTCAGTACAACTACACTGATTAATGAGGTAGCCTGGTGGCCTGTGTCAATCTGTCTCATGTTAGTTCTAGAATGACTAGAATTCAAACTATGAAATATCCACTCCTAAAAAGTTTTTGTCCATTACCTATCATAACACAAGAATACCAATTGCTGCATAGTTTTCAGCTCCATTGGTTAAACACTGCAAATGCACGTCAAACCATTTTACCTGACAGACATATTTGTTCTTCCATTTGCTCAGCACACACTGACTGTTTTGCATCAGCTCCTGAAGGAAACAGAAGAAGAGAGTGCAGCTGGCTATACACATTTTCATTATCAGTTAAAGTGCCTCTGATTTGCAAAAAGAAAGAAAGAAAGAAAAGAAAGAAGAGAAGAGAAGAGAAGAGAAGAGAAGAGAAGAGAAGAGAAGAGAAGAGAAGAGAAGAGAAGAGAAGAGAAGAGAAGAGAAGAGAAGAGAAAAGAAAAGAAAAGAAAAGAAAAGAAAAGAAAAGAAAAGAAAAGAAAAGAAAAGAAAAGGAAAAAGAAAAAGAGATCAGCATGCCACACAAAGATGCAACTGTTTTGAAACTCCTCACTGGACAAAAGCAAAGCTCTCATCACCAGGAGAGCCGATCCTTTATGAAAATTAAAGCTGTTGAAAGATGTTTTAAAACAGATTTGTTTGTTGCCATTTTTGAAACTTTTGGAAAGGTACCTCCAACTCCTTGAGTGAGTCTCGAAGTTTTTCTGGGCGTCTGTTTTTGAGAGTCCACGGATAATCTCGTGCTGGCAAATAAAACATATACTACAGTTAGTTAAACATGACTTAAGGAAACGCTACTAAGCAGTGTGCCTAAGGAAGATTAAAATAAAACACCTCCTTAATTGAGAGGAAGTGGGCTTCATTTCCATCATCGAATGACAGCCTTTTGAAAGGCTTTATCATAAGAACAGAACTTTTACCACAAAACAATCTTCCTGATCATAATTTTATGATGACAACCAACAAGGCTCAGAGAATGCCTGGGAAAGTTTCCCAGGCCTGTGAACCTAGTAATTAAAGGTAAATGACCCCCTCTTTAACAAAAAATAACGTTTTCTTTTATAACATTAAATGTTCAATCCAAAAAAATTCCAAATTCTCAAACCTGAAAATTCCTAATGAGTAAATGAATACAGTGAGAAAAGAAGTAAAATACAAAAACAAAATATACACAGAAAGATGAATTTTAAATTAAGCATCACATACTAAGATTAAGGAAAAAATGGAGACAAAACCAAGTTTTAACAAATTAGGCACTAATAATGAATGCTCTGTTTAAAGTAAAACAATCCTCTTTAAAATCTACACCACAATTCAATATTAATAAAGCTTTGCTGTGTTTTAAATACATTTAATTAAAAGATAAAATTATTTAGTAGAGTCTAAATGTTAGCCTAAGTCAAACTAAAAATAAGTTTTGTTTAAAAAATTAACAAAATGTTAAATTGATAATATCTATTTCATCATAGGAATAAATTAATCTTTGAATTCTCCTACATAATAATTTTAAATAAGAGTTCTATATATGTGTGTATGTATGTGAATATACATATAATATGTAGTATATAGATATTAAAATTTTACAGTAGAATTGCTATGTGTCTTATTTTAGCAAGTTTATTTTTAAAAGATAATTTATGATGTATAGAGCATCTGTGCAAATTTTAAAACCTGTTACAGCTCCTAATAGAGTATTTTTAAAAATTAAATGTCAACTTGACCATTTAAAACAAGAGAACAAGTAGGATTTTCAGAGCCATCTATATTCCAAACAAAATGTAGATTATATTTAAGCCATTAAAACCAGACTATATTGTAGAGATATTACATTAACACATTTAAATATTTTAGAACGGAAAACTAGAGAGAATAAAATGTTAATATTGGTCATTACGAATCTTATTTTCTTAAAATAGGTAAAACAATGATTTAGGCATAGGACAAATAATAAAATGTTCTCAGAATTTAAGCACGATACATTTAAGTATATTAACTAATATAAATATTCATTAAGAAAGTTTATGTTTATATAAACATATAAAAACTGGATAGAGATTTCAATGGTCTAAATTAGAAATTCCTAACAAATACAATTCTTACTCATTTGGTTCTATGGCTAAAGAATGAGAATTTATAATTATAAGAAATTTAGAAGGAATATAACATTTCCTATTTGTACAGAAAGCTTAAAATATTTGTTAAACTGAATCTTCAGGGATATTAAAATTCCAGTTTTATAATTATTCCATAAAATATATAAAGAAAGCTTACATTCTGCCAGTTTCTGCTTTGCTTCTAAGTTACCATGCTCTGTCGCTGATACTGTTGTGGAAGAGTTGGAAAGAAGAAGAAAAAAAGTAGAAATTATTTTTTAACACTTTGTATTTTTATATGCACATATATAATGTATTATCACACACCTTGTTGAGATTAATAAATTATGCTCAACTTTTTAAAAGGCAGTTGAAAAAATGCCATAATATAAATGCTTTCATTTCATAGAGGTATTTCCTAAATTTGCAGTGAAAAGGCTTATGTACCACAACAGGTGGGCCAATATCCTGAGCCTGCAATCTCATCAGATATGGAAGGGAACTGCAACCGAGCCCAGAACAGAAGCTGTTTCAGTCTGTCATCAGAACCATGAAGTCAGCCTATTAACGCCAAGCTAAGCACAGAAGAAGCCCACACAAACCCACTTCAACAGAGACCAAAACAGGAAGTAACTCTAGCTAGAAAGACCTTTTGGCCCAACAAAAACTTCTGGGATTAAAAGGATTAATCAGATAAAGAAAATTGATCATTCACACAGAAATGCCTATTTCAGATACCAGGTGAGGACCCGGCAGGCCAGCACAGTGGAGCCATGCATTAACAATGCCCTCTACTGGGACACTGATAAATAAACGAGACTAGGCTGTCCAGTTATCAGTCTGATCAGCAGTAAAATGAAAATTTTCATGTTCTTCTATAGAATTTTCTCAATATTGCTTTATTTTATATAGAACAGATATCAACCTCGACATGTTTCTAAAGAACTGAAGTGACTTTTCTTAATTCTATAATCTATTAATGGTATTACATAGTTTAGGATATTTTGTTTATAAGAATTAGTTGAGTAGAGCAGATACTTTACCTGGTTGATCTTTCTTGTCATAATACTGGTATATCCCAATATCTCTATCTACAGAAAGGAAGAAATAACATTAGATTATGGTAAAAAATTCTGGAGAATAAGAAGCCAATCAGACTATATGGCAGGGTGGGAGTGAGTATAGGCAGGGAGGAGGACAAAAGCGGTCTCTTTACCTTACTAGAAATAAAGTAGTCAACCAAAGGACTTGTATGCATGCATATAAGCATAACCAATGGACATAAGACACTGGGGGATAGGGGTGGCTAGGGGACTGTCTAGGGCGGGGGGGGGGGGGGAGGAATGGACACATATGTAATACCCTTTGTATTACTTTAAGCAATAAAAAAAATAAAAATAAAAGAATCTAGACATGGGTTCAGGTATTACAGGGATACTGGAAAGTTTACCAATGTAATTAGAAAAGATTTACACAAGACTAAAATGGCATGAGGAAAAGAGGAGTAAGGAACTGCAATGAAGGAAGACCACCTTTTCTCTGTCACACTCCCTCTGACATTTTCCACAGGGTGCTACCCCAAGGGAACTGCCACTAAGTAATGCCAAATGAAATCAGTGGATGGAAGAAAATGCCCTGACTCTTGGATTCTGAGCTGTGCTTCCTTTTCTCTTATTTAACTCAAGTCTGGGAGGGTGATTAGTGGTGAAGCTGTAAAAAAGAAAGAGAGGATTAGAGTAAGGTGTGGATAAATTATCTGAAGCTGTTTAGACTTAAAGAAAAACCTTCCAAACCCATTCAAAGTCGGATGTTCTGCGGAGGCTACAAAAGCAAAGCTAGGTTTTCCTAAATGCTGAGAGTGATTTAATCAAGGAATTCTGTTCTTACAATTTAATTACAGAAGAACAAAACAACTGTGTCCATTTTCTTACTATCTATGAATAGTGAAATATTGTTCTTTGAAGTAACATTTGTTTCCTCCCATGCAAAATAATTCTAGCTACTAACACAAGGACATAACTATTTCCAAAGAAGTGGAAGGGAAGCAGTACAGGCTGCCCCCTAGTGACTGATTGCTCCAATCTTTCTCAAATTGAGTGATGGAACTTCAAAAAAAATATTGCAGCTATATATTTATATAGTTTTCAAAATAGCCAATCATGTATACTTACTGAAGCTGTATTTTATTTGTTATGCTATTAATTTTAAATAGTTTTAAAGAATGCAATTCATTTCTACTAGGCTGAAAATATCTAATAAGGCATTATTGGGAAAGGTCATGGGTAGGGATCCTAAGGTATTAGTAATGTTTTATTTCTTTCTTTTTTCCCTATTGCTTATGGATTGGTTTTTAACAAATATGTGCCCTGACTGGGAATTGAATCGGTGACCTCCTGGTGCATGGGACGATGCTTAACCAACTGAGCCACACCGGCAGGACTGTAACTATTCTTTAAAAAGAAGTGTGATATATATATTCAATAACCTATAGAAAAATTTTTGTCTTGCAGATATTAATTTTCAGTGATTAATGCCTTAACACATATACATTTCTGAAATTTTAAATCTTAATGGAAATGTACTTTGATATTTTGACATTCTCCAGAAAATGTTCATAAAGCAAAACATGTTATTAGTTATCATATTTGTTATTATTAATAAAGCCACCAGAATTGTACTCTGGTTGGAATCTTTTTATATATATACATTTTTATTGATTTTTTTTTTAGAAAGAGAAGAAGGGAAGAGAGAAAGAGAGAGAAACATTGATGTGAGAGCCAAACATCTATTGGCTGCTTCCTACACACCACTTATAGGATCAAGCCCACACCCCGGGCGTGGGCCCTGACCAGGAATTGAACTAGCAACCTTCGGTGCACAAGACAACACCCAACCAACTGAGCCATAGCAGCAAGGGCTCTAGCTGGAATCTTAAATTGAAGTATTTTCTTCTCTGATCATAATTGCCTACTTTTTTCATCTCTCTTGATCCCTTACTTCCATATAGCTAGCTTTTATGCTTCTTTGAAATCAATCGCTTAATCCCTTCATTTTCTCCTGGTCCATCAGGCCTTTCAATCTACAAACTCACTTTCTTAGTCTAGAAATATTTCTTTGATAATTTCCTCCTCTCCTTTTTGTTGCTTTTCATGGAGTTAGTAATAGTTGAATTTAGAGTTCCTAGGTCGAATAGCTAACATGCTCTTTCCTATTTATTATCTTTGTGTGTTTTTTTGTCACAGCATTCATTTCATTTTTATAACACATGTATATTTCAACATAATTATGTTTTCTTTTTTAAAAAAATACATTTTATTGATTTTTTACAGAGAGGAAGGGAGAGAGGGACAGAGAGTTAGAAACATCGATGAGAGAGAAACATCGATCAGCTGCCTCCTGCACACCCCCTGCTGGGAATGTACCCGAAACCAAGGTACATGCCCTTGACCGGAATCGAACCCGAGACCCTTGAGTCTGCAGGCTGACGCCCTATCCACTGAGCCAAACCGGTCAGGGCATGTTTTCTTAATTATATGTTCATTGGATAAACTTGGAGGGGAAAAATTTTTAAAAAGTTCAATGTGCTATCTTTCCATTCTTCAGAGACAGCCACTAATAACATTTGTTGTCTCTACTTAGAGTTTTTTTCTGTATGTATTTTATTACTAAAGTGCTATAATGAAAATACCATTTAACATTTTTGTTTTACAATTGCTAAATTACTGGGTATATAAACGCTTATAAATGTTAAAAAATAAAATATAACCCTGGCCTGGTGGTTCAGTTGATTGTAGCATCCTCCTGTACACCAAAAAGGTGAGGGTTCGATTCCCAGCCCAGGCACATGCCTAGGTTGTGAGTTCAATTCCCGGTCGGGGTGCATATGGGAGGCAATTGATCAAAGCAACCGATCAATGTTTTTCTCTCTCTCTTTCTCCCTTCCTTTCTCTCTCAAATCAATAAAAACATATTCTCGGGTAAGGATTTTAAAAAATGATAAAAATAATAAAATACAAAAGACTATACATATAATTAAAAATATACACAAACCAGGAAAGAACAATGCCTTTTAAGCCTTCTGTGTGCCCTTATCTATTTCATCCCACTCCCTCTCTTCTCAGAACTATACTAAAATTTTGTTTATAATCCTTACTTTCTTTATAGTATTACATATATATTTGTCTCCTGAAATAAGACACTATTTAATTTTGCCTGTTGTTTTTAAACTTCCTCTAAATCAGTGGGTCACGACCCCTTTGCGGTCGAATGACCCTTTCACAGGGGTCGCCTAAGACCATCCTGCATATCAGATATTTACATTACGAGTCATAACAATAGCAACATTACAGTTATGAGGTAGCAACGAAAATAATTTTATGGTTGGGTCACAACATGAGGAACTGTATTTAAAGGGCCAGAAGGTTGAGAATCACTGCTCTAAATGTTATCATATTATAGGAACTCTTCTGCAACTTATTTTTAAATTTATTTGCCTAATATCGCAGTTCTGACATTCATCTATACTGTTGCATGCAGCTGAAATTCATTCACTTTCTCTGTTGCATAAATGTATTTATCCATTCTCCTGCTGATTGACATTTGGGTTGTTTCTAATTCCCTGGAATATAAACTGTAATATTGTAAGCATTTTTGTACAAATCTCTTGGTGCACAAGTGTCAGGACGTTTGCTGGGTATATATATACCTAGGAGTCGAATTATTAGTCAATAGGTTACATACTTCTTCAACTATGCTAGATAATGCCAAATTGTTTACTAAGGTGGTTGGCCCAAATTATACTTTCATCAGCAGTGAGATAAGCTCCTTTCATTCTTTGGTGTGTGTTTTTTCTATTTTCTAATAAGCTTTCTTTTACTCTCTTGAGTTTTATTTTTTTCTGCAACGTATTTTTTTTTAATTCCCAAGATATGAGTATAACTTTCCAGTGTTTTCTGAAGCTTCTGCATATTGTTCCTTGCTGTTCATAAAAATGAGTCACAGAAAGCTGATTAGAAGCTCTGTACAGGAGCAGGGCTTGACAACTGGGGGCTTCAATGATGAGCCAGGAACCCCGGTGCTTCAGCGGAGGATCCCAGCATCAAATGTCAGTGAGGAGAGTCTTCTCTCTGGGGCCATGCAGTCACTCCAGAGAGGATTCCCTGGAGCTCCTCCCTTCTTGGGGAATGTCTGACGGCTGTGGCATTCTCAGAACCAGGTGTGATTAAGAGGACCTTACCCATCAGTGTGCAGGCTTTCATCTCATCCCTGCTTTCAGTTCAGCACCTCTCCCTAGCTTCTTCACTGGGGCTGGGATACAAGTTTAAAGCCTCCCTCGTCAAGTGTTTCCACAGTACGGAAGGTATCTCACTACTTCTCAAGCAGATTTTCAAGTCCCTTGGTTGTCACCCTCATATCACATCCCCATCGTCTACAGTATCTGGCCCCTCAAATTTCTGTATCTTTCTAGAGTTTTGAAAAACAGACTGGCTGTCACTGGAATTCTGCTCTGTAGACACTCGATGTTTAGATTTTTAAGCTTTGCTAATTCCTTCATCCCATCTTCCAAAAATCAACTGCAATCGTCTCCTCTCCTATTCTTAGTCTTTGTGGGTTTATGTCTTCTTTATTTTAATTTAATCCACTTTCCCTCATTTTAGAAGGATTTGGGGAGGAAACAAATGTGTGTTAAATCCACCTGTTTAACTGGAAGTTCTATCCTTAATATTTTAAGCAAGGCAAAAAATGAAATTTAAATGACATTCATCTGTAATTATATGTTTGAGATAAAGAAATGGTATTTTAAGACCCAGAGTCATAGAACCATGAACAGACTCTTGCACCTCAGAGGGAAGGCACGGGAGGGTTGGTGGGAAGAGATCAACCAATAAACTTGTATGCACATATGCATAGCCCATGGACACAGATAATGGGGTGGTGAAGGCCTGGGGCCAGCGCTGGGGGCGGTGGGGAGTATGGGTGCGGGGCTGGCAAAAGTTAATGGGGGGAAAAGGAGGACCTATGTAATACTTTCAACAATAAAGATTTTTTAAAAAAATAATAAATGATACTTTATAAGGTAAAGCCATATACATACAACTGTCCTCTAAAATTCAAGAGTTGCTTTGGGTAATCAAAGAAAAAAAAGATTTTGTAAAATATGTTCCTTAATGATATATACTTTATAATACTAATAAGCATTGTTAGAACACACTTCTATTACTCCCCCACAAAAAAACTGAAATGCAAAGAATATGAATATGATTAATTGTATGTCTTAGCTATATGTTTGAAATGTTACTTTCATATTAAATAGAAATGCCTTTACCATTAGTTAGCCTGAAAATATTTATGAATATAAATCAGTCATTATGAACAATTCCAGCAAATATTGAACATGTATGTATTTTAAGAGGAAAAAAATATTAGGCCAACAAAATTAATTTTCACAACAGAAAATCTAACTCAAGCTGAAAAAATAAGTTAAGCAGAGTTAAGAAATTATTTTCCATTAGCCAATTTTTCATTAAGAATAAAGAAAATAATGCAACTCCAGCTGGAAAATCTAGGCTCTAACCTTTGTTAGTATTTATTTATAATGTTGTAACTTATATTTGAAAAATATTGAAATTAATTCGAGCTCATTTACCGCCAATGTGTAAGGTATTCTTCAAAGACCACAGGTGCAGTTCAGTCAAGCAGAAAGACATCTGATGGCAGAAGGAATCTCTGTCCTGTTTAAAAAATAATTAAAAGGATGTGCCAATTAATTATCTCCGATTGCCAATAAAACCAAGATCCCTAGAAATAGCAGGATCATTTGCTACTACTAATATTTGAAATATGGTTCATTAGAATAAACACTTTAATATACCCTTGGTTAGCCATCCAGGAATAAACTCTAAAAAAAGGAAAAAATACACTTATTTTCCTAGATTTACTATTGTCATCACATTGTGGTAAGAAGAATAAAGATTTGAGTTTGCAATGACGTGTGGTTTTTAAGAGTCTGAGTATATTTAAAAATATTTCATGTTTAAGCATTTTAAAAAACATTTTTTAAGGAAAGAAAACATCTGTTAGGTAGTTATTAAGTACAAACATACTTTTTGGTGTATTTTTAATGTACAAAGCAAATATTTACTATCTCTCACATACAAATGGGTTAATTAAAATAAAAATTGCAAGGTAAATGGTATATAGTTACTATTATAAGAAACACATATACTTAGAAGTAAACTATGAGAAACCATGTTAGTATTCAGGTTAGTTTGTTATTCTACTCCAACTCCAATAAAAATAACAACAAAAAATGCACATCCTGTATTTCCTTCCAGTTTTACTAGCAGGGGTTAGTGGTGGGTATTACTGCTAACTTTTTTTAAAATCAAGTAGAACCCAATCAATTTTAACTGATTGGAAGAAGATCAATCTGAATCAGAAAAAAAGTCAACATTTTATAAATATTTAAAAAGAATTTATATAACTTTCAAATATTTGCTTGGAGATACATCTAGTACCATACTCTATGTACTCTTTACTACATATTAGAAACACATATAGTAAACTACCAGCACTTTCTTTTTGGATTTCATAAAAGAATTGTTCTTTCCAATAAACTTCTGAATAACAAAAGAAGCTTAAAAATATTTTAAGACATCTTTTAGATGAAAAAATAAAATCTCAGCTTCTTTAACATTAGGAGTGACTAATAATATTTCCCATAATATTCATGTGGGTGATAATACAAAATAACTTAAGACACAGTACAAAATTCTTAGGCCTTCCTTCACCTTTACATTTGACTTCAATGCCTTTTATCATCAAGAAACATGCAGTTCAACTAATAAGACACTGTGCTAATTATTAAAACAGCAGAGTGAGCAATGTAGCAGCATAAAAGAAGGGCCTGAGCCTGCTTGGAACAGCGGGTCTCTAAGAAAGCTACAGAGAAGTTGTAAAATGTTAGCAGAACCTTAAAGAACTAGAGGATTCCACCAATTAAATGAAGATGATAATAACAGATAATACTAAGTACCTACCTCATGATAAGCATTATTCTATACATTTGATATGTATTAACTCATTTAATCCTCATAGCTACTCTTGGAAGAAGTGCCATTATCATATATAATATCCTATATAATAAAAGCATAATAAGCTAAGTGTCCGACTGATCAAGCGACCATTTGGTTAACCACTTGACCAGTCGCTGTGATGCGCATTGACCACCAGGGGGCAGATGCTCCAACCAGTAGGTTAGCTTGCTGCTACGGTCCAGCCAATCAGGACTGGGTGAGAGGACTGGACACACCTTGGAGCCCTCCTGCTAGCTGGCCAACCTCCTGTGGTCCCTCCCCAGCCGGCTGGCCCCCATTGGCCCTGATCGGGACTAGGCAAGATGGCCCCAATCGCCAGCCAGGCTGAGGGACCCCACCTGTGCACCAATGCCTCTAGTAGTTACTTCTATAAGGAGGAAAACGAAGCACAGATAGGCCACACAGCCAGCAGGTAGTGGAGACAGTCTAAAGATGCATGATGAAAAGTGATAGACTAATTAAGTTGAAAAGGGTAGAAAGGAAACAGGCTATAATAATAGTACATTTTGGATTGATATGAATTCACTCTTTTCCTTATATGGAAGTGCCATAAAAAGTTAGAGATGAAACAAAGGATCTTTCTATCCCCAGATCTGCCTGACTCTAACCAAAAGCTAGCTGCCACTGCACACAGGGAGTCGGAAACAGAGCTAGTGGACTGTATTACTACGAAAGAGGACACAGTTCCTTCTCAGAAGGCAACAGGGGAAAAGAGATATTAAGCAAATTACGAGTTTTTCAATTCAGAGTTGACACCTTAGAAGTGACTCTAGCAAGGCTGCTGTGTTCTTTGGAAATGCTTTCATTAGTTTTATGGGGCTCATTTCATAAAGACTACATTATAGTGATTATACTTTGTTTTTGAACTCACATACTTCCTATATTTGAATATGTAAACTGAACCCTTTTCATTGGGATGGGTAAGGTCTGGAATGTTTATTTAAATAATTAAATACTTATTTTTCATTTTTTTAAAGCTTAATGTGTAGACTCTAGATTCTAATTGCCTGGTTTCTTACTCTAACTTCTCGGCTTACTAACTTGGATAAATTACTTAACTTCTCCATTTCTAGGTTCTCCCTACCTCAGGACTGTATTGAGGGTACCATTATTCAGTTATCTTATTGTTGCCATTGACGCTGCTGCTCAATATGTCTAGCATGTACACATTCATATGGAAAAAAATAAAAAAAGTATTAAATATGGTCTCTCACTTTATATAGTTATTTCACAAGATGAAATGAATGAATGAATGAATACTAAGTATAATAGGGATTTTATGAAGGAAAAACATCTGAGTGTGGAGAAGTGTCTATATAAAAGGGCGTATTTGAATTGGGACATGTAAATGGGTTAATATTTCAATGGGATAGGGAAGTGATGAAACAAGTGCACACTTTCTCTGATATTGAGCATCAAAGTCACAACTTCTAGACTATACACGAAAATAAAAACTCACGTTACTACTCAATGTAATGTTTATTTAAATGTCTATAATTAGAATTTATGGCAATTTTGGCAAAGACAAGGTTGAAGTTTAGTTGTTAGTAGCTACATAAAGAGAATTTTATCACGCAAATTAAATATAGATAAAATTTTAAACTGAAACCAAAAGGGCAATACCTTTACTTACTCTTCAACAGAAGTCTGCACTTGAAATGTTAGTCAATTCAATAATAAATAATCTGCCAAAACTTTCCCTGATGACAGAATTGAAGAGTGGAATAAAATTTCCTTTGTAATCCACATTGGCTATTTCTCAGAGGCAGGAATGGTTTTAACTAAAATACCAATAAGTCCACTATTCATATCTTTACTAAGTTTTAAATTCCTAAACTACTCAGAAATCATGTTGTTTGGGTGGAAATAAGCAAAATGAGGTCTATGGGGAGCTTCTCATGTCCAGTGCAAAGCCCTTAACCCTTTGCATTTGGATATAATGGGAAATTCTGAGAATGGTGCAGTGTAGAGTCCATAATCTGGACATGTCTTCCAGTTTGGCACCTAAAAATTCATGTCTGGTTCCAATGAGGGTGGGAAGACAGAAAAATGTATAAGCTGGTTTTCAAAGTGTTCTGATGTACAAACACTGCTCTAGTTACCGTTAAAAAATAAAAGACAAAAAGGTGAGAAAGACATTCTACTTTATAAAGAACCCCTATGTGGCCCCACAGGGAACATTTGTATAAGGGGGGGGGGGGGAATTGACTGTAGGGGTGGTGCCCTGAAGAAAGTAATTAGGACTGGTAGCCCTTCAGATTAGTTGGCTCATTGAGGTGATGGTATCCAGACAAAATGGGATCCAAACCCAGCTGAGAAATGCTGCCCTACTCAGTGCTCTTAGGGACTTCTCTAGGAATAAAACCCAATGTACTTGACTTAGAACTAGAACAAAAGTAGCTATATTGGAGGGAAATGAATGAAAGAATGATTTAACTAAAAATACAGCAAACTGTCTTAATATTGAATAGAGAATAGACATGGTGGCCAAGGAGTAATCTATACCCAGGCGACAATTATCAGCTGATAACGCAGGCCTAACGAGTAGCAGGTACGGCAAGTGAGAAAATAGCAATGTCCAATAATGATTGGGCTTATTTATGAACACGTGACAACCCCTGTGGACTCCACAAAATATGTGTAATTAAGAAGAAGGCTTTGCAGGGATCATGCATTATCAGAGGGCAAAAGACAAATATCTGCTAGTAATACTATATAAAATTAAAGAGAACTGATGGAGTAAATAAAACAAATTTGCAAAAATCTGTAATAACAACTAGATGGACATGGGGGGGGGGGGGACCAAATCAATATCCTTTTTAGTCCTCAAAATGTCTTGCTGTCTCCATAGTGTGAAGTTTTTTCGAAAGATGCAGAGCTTTAAACATCTTGCATTTTACTCAAGAATGTCAGTGGTTGAAAAGAATTTCGTTTAAAAATTCTGCCTGAAGGAAGTAGTCAAGACTGAACTCATATTATTCAAATATTGTATTCGTGCATAAATAGTTGTTTTGTAAGGGGGAAGAATTTCAGAAGAATGCTGGATTCTGCATTTTGGTTGAGGGGTATGAAAAAGGGAGTGTCAAACAAAGTAAGCTGAGAAATGCTGCCCTACTCGGTGCTCTTGGGCACTTCTCTAGGGATAAAACCCAATGTACTTGACTTAGAACTAGAACAAAAGTAGCTATATTGGAGGGAAATGAATGAAAGAATGATTTAACTAAAAATACAGCAAACTGTCTTAATATTGAATAGAGAAAAGAATTATCCAAATGAAAAGAATAGCAGATGGAAGAACTTAAACAAAAGTTGCCCATAATTTTTCATTTATTTTAAAACATCTTTGTAACATTTGCAACTTTCTGTTACTTTAATTTTATAAGGTAGTTTTTATAGTCTCAGATGTCTCAGAAGGTCATTATGAATCCAAACTTCAATCTCCAAGAGAGAATAAGAAGCATGATTTAAACTGAGCATAAACTAAATTTAGATTTCCTTTGTTCTTTTGTGTGTGGGGATTGTTGAGGGGGGAAATCTATGATAGTCCAAATTTTCAGGACAGAGATGAGAGGATCCTAGAAAGCCAATTACAATAAATTAATATTTATTTGACTTAAGAATAATTGTTACCATAT